ATTTACCTTTTTTTTTACAGAATCAATTGATTTAATTAATTTAATTATTTTTTTTTACGGAAACGCTCACTCTGCAAGAGATACTAAATTCCATATTGCAGAGATTCTAATCGAAAAAAACATCTATTATATATAATAGAAAGTTCGTTAAGTTAATATTTATAGAGATTCTAATCGGAAAAAACATCTATTCCATATTTATAGAGATTCTAATCGGAAAAAACATCTATTCCATATTACCATATGTAATTAATGAAAGTTTGTTAAGTTACTAATTTTAGATAATAATTAATGAATTTGGCGGGAAAAGATTACTAAAAGTGAATTAAGTTAATCCTTATTATATATTAATAGATTACTAATATTACTATTTGTTTCTAAATCTATGTCTATATTAAAGCAAATATTTTGTTTCTAAATCTTTATCTATATTAAAGCAAAGCAGCTACCAAACTCCCGTTCAAAATCTGCATTATAAGTTTGTGCATTATTTGATAACTAATCTCTTCTTAAATTTTGCTTTAAATTCCTACTTAGTATTAAATTTGAGAATAATGAATACATACAATCTTTTAGTCTTTGTTTCATGTAAGTTAAAGAGTCGAGTGAATTTTGAGTGTGTAATTGAATAATACTAGTGCACAGCCCCGTGCATCGCACGGTTAATTATATTAAATAATAATTATAAATATGTCTCGAATTCAAGTGGTGGGGAACCATTATCCTATTTTAAAAGAGCAAAAAAAAAAATATATATAAATTAAAGATGTGGGGTTAACATGATATAATTTACTGTCGTATATCAGTTTAATAATTATAAATAGGTCTCGAGTTCGAGTGCTGGGGGTAACATAGGATATAATTGACCGTCGTATATCAGTTATTATCAACAATATAAAATTAACTTGTATAAGAGAACATAGAGTTTGCACGTTTAAAATACTAAAAACATGTAAAAGTATGTAAAAGTTCATGTATTATTATTAAAAGATGTGAAGTCACCTACAATTTTTTAAAACTATTTTAGAAAGAAAACATGTTTAAAAACATTTAAATTTTATATTTTATGAAAGATGTTTTCTAAACTCTGTTGTAAAGAAAACATTTTTAAAAATATGGGGTATTTAATATGTATATATATATATATACGTGTATATGTATATATAGATATAATATGACATGATAAAATATTATATAAAAGTATCTACAATATCATAAGCCTAAATAAAAATATTATAAATTTTGAGAGAAAATTTACCACTTATATATAAAATAAATAATGAAATTATACCGAGAATTATGAGGGTATTTTTTATTTTTTTATAAGTTGTTACCGTTAAATGAAAAATTGTACGCATAACAATTCCACGCTTTATGCAGATTTATTAATTTTACAAATAGAGATCAAGATTAATTTAAAATGTAACAAATAAAATGAAATTTTATATATAAGTGATATTAATACAAATATTGAAGACAATATTTAAATCTGCATTTTTTCTATTAACTTTTTATTATGTGTATTTAATATTTTGGAGGATAAATATGTGATAAATCTTATTCTCGTTAAAAAAAATTATGTTACATAATTTTGTTAAAAAAATATGTTAGAGTAGATACCTAAGAGATGAGATTTTTTAAATTTACCGAGCGATGGTATTCTGTAAGATTGCCATAAAATTTTTTAGGCTGGTATACATTAATGGGTTTTTTGACCGTCTTTAATGTGTATGGAAGCAAAAACCGATATTTATGCGATGGGATTCTGTAAAATTACCTTGAAATTTTTTAGGCGGGTATACGTTAATGAATTTTTTTTGTACGATCTTTAATGGTGTATGGAACAAAAGCCAATATTTTAGGCTTTTCAATTAATGATAGAAACTTATAAATATGATGAAGTGAATGTATGACGACAAAAAAAAAAAAAACTTACAGCTTACGTAGGACATTTTGGGATAGAAGAATGTAATATATAGATTACAACATGAATAAAATATATTGTTTGATTTGGATGAGTTTTAAAGACTTTGAAGAAAGGAAAACTCTTATTTAGTTTGACTAAATATCTCTCCTCAATTCACACGTGATTTGTTGTAAATATGGTATAAATAATATGTATTTAACTTATTTAAAAAAAATTAATCATCTTTTAATAAAAATTTATATATTTTTAAATAAAAAATTGAAAAAAATATGTATAACCGGTTGGAAGATTAAATTGTTATAGCTTTTTTTTTTTAAATATATCGTGATTTCACATTGTTTGGAAGATTCAACTTATTTAAAATCATAGTTGACGGTATTATTTTTTAAATTTTTTGTAAGATAGAAATGTTGCATTAGAATGTATCCGGTTGGACGGTATTGTTGCATTTTGAACAGTAAGTCAATAAGAATTCCTATTTTAAACTCTTTGGCATAAATTTCGCAACAACAATTAAAGAGCTATAATTAAGGAAACCAAGTTGCAACCGATTTTGAAACTATAATTACGGAACCAACAATTAAAGAGCCGTTTTTTTTTTGCTTATTCACAATTACCCAAAAATTACTATATATAGGATATAATTAATGATTTGGCGGAAAAAACTTGCTAAATTTATAAAATAGTAAATCTTTTTATATATATAGATATAGATTATATATAATGATTAAAGCGTGTTAATTTCAAATAAAGTTTACTAGCTAAAGAGTTGGGTGAATTTTGGGTGTGTTAAATAATATTAAATATAATAATTAAAGTTAGTGTGATGTACAAATAGTAAAAATATGTTACTGAAAATTATAGTTATTTGAAATTAGGTGAATAGTGAGTTAAGTTGACGTGATGTATGATTATTTGATTGGTCGGAAAAAGTGTGTATTTTATATATTTATTAGCGTACCTTTATACGCTTAATTTTATCGCACTTATATATTTTTTTCGACTTATAATTTATTATTTGGATGGATTTATTTGATTTATCGTTTTATGTATTATCTTTCAGTATTTTGGAGTATGTTTGTGGATGCGAAGCATTGGACGGAAATTCACGTGATTAATTATCATGTCTTCCCAATAACCGTCAATTTGGCTCACGAATGTATTGAGTTGAGGCCAAGGCGCATGGTATTCATAAAGAAATATATAAGCTAAACGTTTTGGGCTAAAAGTGGATTTTGGAAAGGAGTTGTTGGGAATTATTTTCCAAGACAATCAGGGAGGATTTAATTGAGAAGTCCACGCAGCCGAACAGAGAAAATATGTACGCAAGCCCTATTGATTTATTTGCTGGGATTGAATAAATAGTCGCAGGCCCAGGGAGGAAATAACATACTGACGAGCATATTTATTTGCGAGCCAGGCACAAAATTATTTTACGCACGCAACCCTTATCATTCACGCAGCCAGGGAAATTAGAGGAAACAGAGACGCACGGACAGATACGAGGAAGCCGACCAAAAGCGGAGGGAGGCCGCACCCGTACACGAGGGAGATAATTAATCTCTCTCTTTTATTTATCTTTTCTTTTTATTAATATGTTAGAGTAGATTTTATTCTAGTTCCGGGGATGTCGAACCCTACGAC